AGGGAGTAACAAAATAAAGTTCCATATGTCTAGAAAGTGAAATATGTCACTAAATAAATTTTGTTAAAGATGAAATCCCAAGAGAAAATAGATCTAAGAGACAGTACATTCTAAATGTAAAAAATTGTGACATGTAGCTAAAGTAATATGCAGAAAAAAATTATAGCTTTAAATAATATTCTGTAAGGCTATAAATAGCTATTTATAGCCTTACAGAATGTAAGAGTTATAAAAAAATAAATGTAGTAAACACAACTGATTAATGCCAATAAAGAAGGATGAAAAATAAAGATATTAGTAAAAAATAATAAAATAAGTAGTTTTTAATTCAAAAAGAAAAATAGGAATGTAAAAAATAACATTACAGACAAAATTCTAGAAAAAAACTAAAAAATGAAAATATTTAAATAAAGAAAATAAAAAGGGTAACTAAATATAGATATTAAAGATTTCAGTACTTTAAAATTGTACTATAAAAATATGTTAATGATTATGAGTGCCTAGGAAATATATGAGAAATGTATTCCTGAGAAATGCAAATACAGGGCCCAGCACAAATAACGCCCACCCTCTCTCTTTTTTACAAAATCTTTCATTACAAAATAATTAGCACGTTATTCTGTAACATAACAATATCACACTCAAGCACACCATGTGACATTTTAGGTGAAATGTTCAAATTAAAACTATAAATTATTACACCCATGTTATTATCCCACCGACCACACTCAAGCAGGCGTTACTTCTGCCAGACTCTGTATATCAAAATTGGCTCAAGAACAATTTGAAAATCTGAATAGAGTAATAGCTGTTATAAAAGGTATTTAAAACCTTCCTCCACAAAGGCACAGATGGTTTTATAGCTGAGTAATGAATGACAAACTTTCAGGGAACAGTAATTTCTACCGTATGCAAGTCATTAAGTCTCTCTTATTAAAGTCATTTCTGAAAATAGAAAAATAATGAAACCTTGTTAACTTATATCAAAGCTAATATAACCTTTGTGGCAGCTTTTGAGTAATCCACTCTATGTAAGATTTTCTCTTATATACAGGTGGATGCTTATTTGTAACTAATAAGGGGCTATAAAATTTAAGACATCAGGAAAAAGACTTGAATTAAAGAGCTATATTCCATAAGCTTGGATTAAAAGAGTCAATGTGATAAAAATGCCAGTTTTCTGCAAGTTAATTTACTAGTTTAATGTAATTACAATAAAAATTACAAAGAAGTTTTTTCCCAAGAAAATTAATAAAGTGATTCATATGTTTTCCAATAAGTTGAAAAGAAAGTTTCTGAAGAGTTAGATATGATTTATTCCATCAATGTTTAATACACATTATAATAATATTTCAGCAAAGAATGAGAAAATGGAACAGAATATGAAGGCCCAAAGCAGTCCAGAGTGTAAAAACACAAATTTTGCATCTAGTAATGCTGGCCCTCCAACCAGAGGGAAATGGGTAAATGAGTATTTAATAGAAGTGCTAGCCATCTTGTTAACTATTTGGGAAAAATTAAGTTAAGGTACTTCTCTTGTTGTATACAGAAAAGTCCCAGTATATGCTTGATCATGTGTATTCGACAAACATTTAAGCTCTAACTGCTTGCCAAAGACTGTGCAAAGGCTGAGGATGAGCAAGGCAGGGGAGCCTGAAGTCTACTAGGAGGATACACAACTGGCCAAAAGTACGGCTGGTTGAGATGATGTCAGTCTAAAGTGCTTTGTCCAAACAGTATGACATGTACTTTTGCTTGAAATAATGTAATTAAGGGTACCCTCTGTTATATGAGACTTTGTGCAGATTCCAATACAACATGGCTATCCACCCCCACCCCCAGGTTTTGTGCATAATCTTATGAAAAATATCTGGGCTATGGAATATTGGGACACGTATGTTAATCACATAAAGAAATTTAAAGCTGTGACGTGGACACTGCGTAAGATGCTGTGTAAGAGTGCCACGCAGCTGCTTCTTGGTGGCAATATCCTGAATATGTTAATGTTACATATAAAACAAAAGAAAATTAGTCAATTAGAAGTGAAATGATGTGGTATTTGTTTTTGAGGTGGGGACAAACCTCCAATTCTTAAAAATCAACGTTAAACGAAAACTACAGATTTGATTATTCAGGCTAAAAGCAAATCAGCTCTGTTATACAGAACAGGTCCAGATCATGGAGCAGCCTACAACAACGTCAGACAGCAAATAATTTAGGATTTGCAGACGCACGGTTTCTGTACCACTACTCAACTTTGCTGTTGCTGCATGAAAGCAGCCACAAACAATTCATAAATGGATGTCCATGGCCATGTTTGAATAAAACTTTATAAGAAAGGCAGTGGTTAGATTTAGGCAATGGGTTATTGTTTGCCGTCCCCTGGTGTAGGTCATGCAGTTGTCTACACAATGGTGTACACTTCAAATAATATTTATAGAGCACTGAGTCCCTGGCTCAATTCAGAGAATGAAGGATATAACTTTCCATAGAGTATTTCTGCATTTAGGCTTTAGCTGCCACAAAAGAATGTGGACCCTACTTTCAGCTCATTATCTAGCGAAGAGTAGGGACCATACTCACCTGGCAACATGAAAGAGTTATCCTATCGGCTCTTGCCCGGGTATACTGCCTTGACTTTACTGCCTCAAAGCTGGATTGAGAGTTAGAACATCCAAGAAAGATTTCTTAAAGAACAAGGCCCATCTGTTCTTCTAGGCAATCTTTATTCTTGGGCCAAATCACAGCCATGGAGAAACAGGTACCCAGATCACATCCCTTTCTTATACTCAACCACTTCCTGCAGAACTTTCTTTTTCCACAGTGCTTTTTGGTTTGAAAACATCAGTTAATTCAGAAAGCCTTCATAAGAAGTGGTCCTAAGACAGGCATTGCTGTAAGGAAATTCTGAGTCACAGTGTATACTTCATTGTATTGAAACATTTGGATCTGATTTAGAACTAGGAATAGTTAGCTATAAGTCATCTGAAAAACCCATGCATTTTGCCTCAGGGACTCTGTGAACTATCTCAATGGAAATGGTTCGACCTGACTAATAATAATAGGGGAAAGAAAAATGGGCACTCTCAACACACAAATGCTTTTCTATATCAACATGAAAAGCCATTCTGGTCGCAACTTGGCATTAAGTATCGTGAGTCCCCAGAATATTCATATTCTGTTATTTAATAACTCTATTGTGAGAAATCATCCTAAAGACAAGAACAAAGGTATTTTTATAGTATTACTTTTAATAATAATAATTTTAAAAAGGCCTGAAAACAGGGACACATGGAATAAATAGACTGACAGCTGTCAGAGGGGAGGAGAGGACTGGATGAAAGAAGGGAGAGGATCAGCCAAAGAACATGTACGCGTGACTCACCAACACAGGCAACAGTGTGGTGACAGCCAGCGGGGTGCGGGGGGAGGGCTGGGTGGAGGTGGGCAAAGTGGGGGAAGAAGGACATGTAATGGTGTCAGCAATAAAAACGGAAAAAGGATAAATAAAAAGATATGGAAACAAAGAAAATGTTCCAAAACAAGGAATTAGGATAAATCATGAAAGATCCATAAGATAAAAGAGTGAAGAAGCATCACTTATGGGAGAACATTTGATGATGTGGGAAAATCCTAATAATACAAATTTAAATGTAGAGTAAGAATTTAACACAGAATGTATTATATATATAATCCCAAATACCATGATATTGGGATCATGGATGATTGTTTGGTATTTATACAAGTCTTTATTTTTCAAAACTCTATAATGAACTTAAGTTTTTTAAATAAAAACTTATACTTGAAAAGCACATCCACTTTGATGCTGGTCTCACAAATGTAAATTCATCACAGGAATTTAAAAGGCAAGTCAACATATTAGGCATATTAACTGTAACATCAGACTGTATAAATTTGCCTATTTATGATATACCAAAATTAAAATTAGAAATTACAAATAAAATGAGAAACCATGAACCTGCAATTACCAACCTTGTTTTCCACGTATAGGACATTTGCCCCCCACTGTGGTCAAGTCCCTAACAGACTTGAAACCACACAACAGAGGTTTTCAAGCCTCTGCTTCAGGGTCACTGTGGGGAGGCTGTAAATAACAACATGCTTGTCTTCCAATACTGGAGGATGTTCCCGGAAACAATGAAGAATAAACTGACTGCGGTCCCATTCGCCAGGAGGAGTTTGTGTGGTCACCTGCACGTGCCCCTGAGGGTCCATTCTTGGCCTTTTCTCACAGTTCCTGCCTAGAGAGCACTGACCTCTTCAGATTTCAAGGCTGCATCTCCCTGGCTGCCCCGCCTGGCTTTGACCAATGGGTAGCATGAGCAGGTACAGGGGAGCATCTGCGTATACAGCACACTTGCCCCCACGGTGTAATTTTTAGCAGTGGCTGCATCTGATAAAGCCGCAGATGTTGAATGGCCCTTGTTAGAAAGGCCGTCTCCCTCTTTACAATTAGGCCAAAAGATGGCAACAGCAGCCCCCTGCTGGGGCCCTGTGCACTTCACCATCTATCCCTCTGTTCAAAGTTCACTCACTCAACTTCCTTCCATTAGACCATTTGGTTATGTCACCTGACTCTGTTGGGACCCTGTCTATTTTAGGAAAAGAAAATAAAAAAAAAACTTTTTAAGAAACCACTCACTTAAAAGAAGTCTTATCACCATGTCCAAAACTTCTAGAAAAACTGGAAAAATATAACCTGAACTTATGAAAATTGCACATTTAAGCTATAGCTTGCAATTATGGAATAGACAAGTTGTAAGCCGCCACTATGACAAGTCACAAGCATTTAAATGAATGATGGTGGAATGAGGTCCACTTAACTTTTACCTTGAAATTCAATGTGATTGAAGACAACCCACTATTAAAAGGCTCTATTTTGAAAACCGATTATTCTTACTGCATTTTTGAAACAAAAATATATACTTAATAGTGAAACGGACAGGTATCAAAAAACATTCTGGGGACCAGCAGCTTACCTCTTTGAACTTGTGACTGAGCTTGGCTGTGTCCAGGTCTGATGGGGAAAACATGTCTTCGTTCTCAGGCAGCTCAAAGACTTCGATGGCCATGTCACTGCCAGGAAGGACAGGGCCTACCTCATCCTCCTCTTCATCTGTGGCGTATTCTCCTGTCTGAAAGGAAGGGGATTTCAGAAATCTAGCTGTCCTCACCCCAGGGGGAGATGGGCTATTTGAAAATATGTTACAAAAGAGAACTAAGACGTCACCAAATGGTAAAAGGGTAAGTAGGCTTTTAAGCCAAGCATGCCAGATGCAGCCAATGTTATAAACGAATGTTAGTTCAAACACTCCAAGGGACATGTCTGTGCCGTGTACAAGCGCAGTTCTAAAAATCTAATAGCGTCAGTAGCATCTTTAGTATAGCAACAAAAGTTTTCAATCTAAGTATTTGATGGTTTCATTAAATAAAATTACACTGCTAAGGGAAACAATTCCTTTAAATTCTCACCACCTGTGTGGATAAGTCATCTGATACTAGAAGCAGGGAAGAAGGGGAGTTCAAATGATTCAGAGTTGGCAGGGACCTGAGTTAAGCCTAACGAAAGTTTAGTAGATTAATTCGCCTAAACTTTAGAATTCAGTCAGTTCTGTTTCATTCACTTTTTTAACTAATGTGGTTAACTAGCGACCTAAAGGGTAGTCTAAGTGTTTCTAAAGTAACATCCCACACAGGTGTATTGCTTTACTGGAGAGTACTTTGATAAAGCTTAGCATTTCATCAATGTCAAAAAAAAGTTCACATATTCTAGATTATCAGTTTTTCTTGAGAAAGCCAACTATCTGGCAATATAGGTCCGTTGTGACATAATAATAATTGGCCCTAGTCAGCAGTGGCTGTCCCTTCTGGAGGGGCACCACAACTTCTGTAACTCTGTATTAATCTATGCTGTTAGCTTCGCTCCTTCATTATACCCTCAGGCCCCTGAAGGTTTCTGAGTTTATAACGCCTGGAATAAATGTTCCCCTTGACCACTAACCTCCTTAACATGATTAGAAGGTAGCTCTGCTCCTGGCAACATCAGGCTATGAGATGCCAATTCAAAGTAACAGTTTGAAATCTATACTTTATAACTTAAAGATAGATCACTGATTTCACAGGGTTGAAAAAACAAATTGCCTTTAAAAAAACCTTCACAAAAAGTATACTGAGTGATTTCTTCCTTTGATTAAATAGGCTTAGCATCTGATTGCTGTTGTTTTCCTTTTGGTTCTGTACTATGTTCTTACTAAGCCTGAAGCTCTATTTCTTTTGCTATGTTTGTGAATGAAGGAAATGTGGTCATTAACCTCAGTTTAATAATTCCTCATGTCTGGAAGACTATATTCAATGGCCATTCTGACTTTTCCTTTTCAAGTAAAACAATTCTAGTTTTCTCATAGGTTCCCTTCTCTGCAATTCTGTGTTCTGATTCCCTGCAAGTTCTCCACATTTATCCTAAATTACGGGGACCAGAAGTAGGCATAACTTCTACTGAGGAACCTGAGGACCATCAACCATGACGAGCAAACTGCCTTGGCATCCTTCAGGCTCTACTTCCCACGCAGAGGTTATCATGATGAAGATTTCGACTTTGGTGGCACTTGTGTATAATAGTATCTGGAAGTCTAAGACTCTTTAGAAACCAGTCTGAAAAATGTCCAAGCCATTAGAATACCATTTTAAGTGTCCTAGGCACTGACCAGGGAAGGTAACTACGAGTGGGGGCTAGTTGGTTCCAGGTAGCTTTCATCTGTTGGTATAATTAGATCCTACCAACCTTAAAAGAACTCGAACTCCAGATTTGATATTTTTTTGTGATATTCTGTAAATTCATTTCCTATTTGTACCTAGGATGAGGTCTGTCTGTAAAAAATCCAGCCATTATTAATATAATGAGAATGGTTTGCATGACATTGATGTAACCTGGCAGCCAGGGAGAGTGGACTGGAATGCGCAGGTGTGAACAATGATGACTTCACCGTATTAGTCAGTGGGGGCGGTAGGCACCTTGAGTGAGCATGTGTACTGTGTGGCTGTCACATTCAAAATGAGTGAACAAGTAGAGCAACAAATCTGCATAAAATTTTGCATGAAGCTTGAATATTCCTCTGTGGAAACTCTTTGGATGATTCAGAAGGCCGCAGCTGTGGGCAACTTGTGACTGGCAGCTTCATGACAAAAATGCGCCTGCTCATGCATCATATCTCGTGCAGAGATTTTTGGTAAAACATCAAATCAACCAGGTGACTCAGCCTCTCTCCAGCCCAGATGGGGCACCCTGTGATTTCTGACTTTTCCCAAAACTAAAAATCACCTTTGAAAGGGAAGAGATTTCAGCCTGTCCATGAGATTCAGGAAAATACAATGGGTCAGCTGATGGTGATTGGGCAAACTGTGCGAGGTCCCAAAGTGCCTGCTTTGAAGGGGAATGAAGCATCCGTTGTCCTATGTACAATGTTTCTTGTATCTTGTATCTTCTTGAATAAATGTCTCTATTTTTCACATTACATGGCTGGATACCTCCTGGACAGACCTCTTATATTTAGAACCAACAGGTACTTTGTAAATCCAGGTGATGTTAATCAGTAGGAATGTAGCAAAGCTGGTATGTACACAATCTCAATACCTTGTTGAAAGTTTTGATTTAGAGATATAAAAGCCAATGCTTGTTTTTAATTACAACTAGTACCACAGCCACACTTTTATCATGAAGGCCTAAACCAGGTATATAAAATTTATTTCTATATCATCAATTTGATGAATATCATGAATGACTCAAAATATTAGGCTAAATTTAAAGTCTGACAATGATGTGGCACATTTTAAACATAAGAGCCGAAATGAACAACAGTATTTCCCTTTGCCAGCTTGAAAATAGATTTTTCTTCACTACATGCAAAGTAATGAATATAAATACAGGGTGGGGCAAAATTAGGTTTACAGTTTTATAGTTGTTTGTATGGAAAATAATACCACAATAAATAATATAAAAATGCATTTCTCATTTTGCAAAACAGAGAGTTTATTCTTGTACTACTATATATTGTATTATTTTGCATATGAACAACTGTAAACCTACTTATACCCCACCCTGTATGTTTCTAGGATGGGACCTGTCATAGAATCTTAACAAATATCATTTTAAAAATAAATCCAAGAATACCAACTGCATTTACCTGGTAATATCTATTACCTCTTAAGGAGGTTTAGTACTATCAAGAAAATGCACTGGGAAGTCATTTGATAAAAAGGAAGTATTTTGTCACATTTATTCTTTAATACTCCTTATACTGAATAACAGGATTAGTGTATATATAAGATATGCAATTCTTACCTTTATATATATATATAGTTTTGGCTTTGTCATCCATTTGAGTTATCAAAATTATCTTCATAAATTTATTAAGAAGGCTTCCTCATGATTCTTTTATTTTTTGACTTCACCAGTTTCCTTGTCATCTCTGTATCCTAATTATCTGTAATTCTGCTAGAATTCTTATTTTTCATTTCACCTTTTTATCTCCTAATGTCCTTCTTTCTTATTAGTCTTATAAACATGCTGAGGACAAAGTATGTCTTTTGCTGTCTTGATTGCATTAATGTCTTATTAGAGGCTCTGGAGAGGGTGTTGGAAAGTTTATGTTGCTATTCTCTCTTGCTGAGCATTTACCATTCCCATCCTGAAGAAGCTTTAGAACAAAAGATGCATTTACTACAGAATCTCATAAACATCTAGAAGTTAAAAAGTTACATTTATTAGATTAAGAAAGTATTATTCTTATACTTTTATCTTTATTGAAAATGGACATTCCTTTTATAGTTAACCTGCAAGTAAAATAAATTACATGGAAAGACACGTTAGCAGAATTGTATAAACCTGAAAATTAGGTTGGATTGAATCTGGCATTTACAGAGGATGGTGGACAACAATGTACAAAAGAACAGTTGCTACAACAAAGTATTCCCACTAGTATCCAGTTCCTTATCTTAATTTCTGGCCAGATTCAACATCTTTCAAGTAAACAGAGACTCTTGAAAGTTCTTTGTCCCAACCTGCAAATCCACTTTAAAAGAGACAAGAATAGCTCCCCATGTAAGAATTGACAGAGATAGTAAATGTTCCTTTTCATCTATTTGTCTATTTTCTTGATTACTATCTTATACGAGGCCTGTCAGAGGTATCCAGCTATGTAATATGAAAAATAGAGACATATATTCAAGAAGACACAAGGTACAAGATATATTGTGCAAAGGCAATAACACCTCAGTCCCCTTAAATGTACTTTGGCACTTTCGGACCTCGCACAGTTCTGATGGCCATCAGCCGCCCCATCCTATTTTCCTGAATCTCATCGATGGGCTGAAATCTCTTCCATTTCAAAGTTGATTTTAGTTTTGGGAAAAGTCAGAAGTTGCAGGACACCAAATATGGGCTGTAGGGAAGCTGAGTCACCTGCACAAGATGTGATGCATGAACGGATGTGTTGTTGTGATGAAGCTGCCAATCACCAGTTGCCCATACCTGCGACCTCCTGAATCATCCTAATAGTTTTCATGGAAGAATGTTCAAGCTTAATGCAAAATTCAATGCAAATTTGTTGCTCTACTTGCTCAGTCATTTTAAATGCAACAGCCACACAGTACACATGCTCACTCAATAGGGTCTACTGCCCCCATTCACTAGTACAGAGAACGTGTCATCGTTCATGCATGAGCACTGCAGTCTACGCTTCCTGGCTGCTGGGTTACTTCAATGTTGTGCAAACCATTCTCGTTATATTAACAATGGCTGGACTTTTTCCAGATAGACCTCATACTTTTTGCTAGCTCCTCCAAAAGGGGGCAAAATATGAGTAACAATTATTTCATAACTCACTCTGTGCCCAACACTGTCCATTTCTTAAAAACTGCATTACCATGCCATCTGAATTTGAGGAAACTGAGGCTCAGAGACTTTACCCAAGATCAGACTATTAGTTATGTTCTTGAAGGTATATCTAACATATTTCAAAGCCCATGCTTTTTTTTTTTTCCTGCTGCCTGCAGGATACATGACTAAAGTTTTGCAGGGGGTGGGGGGTAGGAATACATTCCTATCATTTTTCCCCAGTGAAAAAACCCTAGTGCATAA